TATATATATATATATATATATATATATATATATATATATATATATATATATATATATATATATATATATATATATATATATATATATATATATATATATATATATATATATATATATATATATAGGGTTATAATATAAATTTATTATAAAAGCAACAGTAATCATTGCTATATATGTACGCACGCAGTTCAAATTTTTCTTGGAGAATACAAAATAGTTTGAGACTACACCTTGCTTAACATCCGATTCCATGTCGAGCCAAGCCAAGCTGGGCCAATATGCATAGATTTATAAGTGCTTTTATGTTAAAATTTTGCTTGCAATATTCATATATTTTATAAATTCATTATAAAAACAACAGTAGACATTACTATATATGTACGCACGCAGTTCAAATTTTTCGGGGAGAATTCAAAATAGTTTGTGACCATACCTTGCTTAACATCCGATTCCAAGCCGAACTAAGCCAAGCTGAGCCAATATGCATAGATTTATAAGCGCTTTTATGTTAAAATTTTGCTCGTTATATTTATATATTTTATAAACTCATTATAAAAACAACAGTAATCATTACTATATATGTACGCACGCAGTTCAAATTTTTCGGGAAGAATTCAAAATAGTTTGTGACCATACCTTGCTTAACATCCGATTCCAAGCCGAACTAAGCCAAGCTGAGCCAATATGCATAGATTTATAAGCGCTTTTATGTTAAAATTTTGCTCGTTATATTTATATATTTTATAAATTCATTATAAAAACAACAGTAATCATTGCTATATATGTACGCACGCAGTTCAAATTTTTCGGGGAGAATTCAAAATAGTTTGAGACCACACCTTGCTTAACATCCGATTCCAAGCCGAACTAAGCCAAGCTGAGCCAATATGCATAGATTTATAAGCGCTTTTATGTTAAAATTTTGCTCGCTTTTTAAACGAATATCCCAATATAACAAATTCTCCATCCTATTTTAACTTTCTTTGATGCTTTTTAATCAGTCAGGTCACAATCACCATCATCGATATTGCGATAAAATCAAATTGAATTTTTTTTAAATTGTTGATAAAAGTAACTAGTATATAGTAAAAAGTTTAAAATTTTCTTAGAAAATTCAAAATAATTTGAGACTACACCATACAATTGTACAATTTGAATGTGTAAATACAAAATTATAAATGTATTATAACTACATATATATATATCATTTATATATATATATATATATAAATGAATAATTATAATAATAATATTATGAATATTAAATAACTTGCATGTAAAAGTTGACATTGTTGGTATAAATTCATAAACAGTCTGAATGTACTTATTAGTAATAGTAGTATTAGTGTTAGTAAGAATATTAGTGTTAATAAGAATGAAGTAGTAACAGTAGCAGCTTCAGTAGCAGCAGCAGCAGCAGCAGCAGCAGCAGCAGCAGCAGCAGCAGCAGTAGTAGTAGTAACAGCCTCCTCCACAATTTTGGTGGTATCAGTAGCAGGAGTCGAATCAGTAGCAATTGTAGCAGCAGTAGTAGAATAGCAATAGTAGAAAATTTACCTGAGCAAATGTCATAATAAGAATAATAATAATAATAATAATAATAGATGTGAGTAGCATTATTACAAATTGATGAATGGATCAAATGTAAATATTGCTAAAAAATGTAAAGTAAACAAATGAATGTTTAAAGTAAATAACGTACAATAATAATAATAATAATAACAAAAACCACAACAACAACAACAATAATGATGATAATAATAACAGAAACAGAAATAATAACAACACAATATAATAATAAAATGCAACGCAATGCAATATATAATTACAAGAATGTATAACCAATGAAAATGCGATTTGTAAATAATGACGTCATGTGATCACGTGATGACGATCACGTGATGATGTTCACCTGCACTTATGCGTCATAATAAGGGCTGTGCGCGATTGGAAGGGTGGAAAGAACAGCTTGTCTAAAATTGATTTTTTCATGGTTGTTGATACGTAATTATAATAATAATAATAACAGTAACAACAACAACAACAACAACAACAACAACAACAACAACAACAATAATAATAATAATAATAACCGTAACATCAATAACATCATCAACAACAACAACATTAATAATAATAATAGCTTCAACATAGTAACAAAAATAACAATGAAATGATAACAAAGACGACAAAGTATGATGAATAATTTTTTTTTATTAACATATGATACATTTGATAATTCAAATTTCAATGTTAAAAGTGAATTTCAGTTAGCATTTTTATGCTGAAATTTGTATAAAACATGACTTTAATAATAAAAAAATGGAAAATTAAAAAGTTAGAAGCAATGTAACACGTTAAGATGATTGGTATCCTGTATCTAAAACCTGGAAGGAGTCTTCATTGTGTTTGCATTCAGCATGTCCGTAAAACAGTGGAGTGAATGTGTAGACTATATAACTTATCTAAGTATATAACATACGCGAATGTTGTTTTTTCATTTATATATAGATTGATGCTATACACAGAGTGCAAAGTATCGAGATATGGTTTTTTAAGATGTATATATACATGCGTGTGTGAAATCATTTACACACTTAATATTATAATTTGGAGCGTGAAATCCGTATTTTTAGACATATTTTGCAAAATTTTGATTTCACCATGAATTACTTTGTAGCGTTTGTAAAAATTATTTTGTCGATTTTGTTGGTGGGAGAGGGTTCGGTGAGCTGTGTGGATCTATCGAAATCTGAAAACGAGACAGGAGTGTACGTCGTTGATAATGTCATAGCACAAATTAAACTGTCTAGATTATTTTCTAATGACAAACTCATGATGAAGAATATCGCTTACTTCGAAACGAAATTCGGTGCTACTGGAAATATTTTTGACGGTCCGAGGAGAGGAATATGGCAGGTTGGAGTTTTGTCATCTTTCGAGATGCATATGATTCTTATTAACTGTGACTTTACCATTATTTATTGTTTTAAAAACATCAGATCAATCAAAGTTTGCTCGATAAATCAAAATCTAGCCTGGATAAAAGCATGCTGGATAAAATTAGAGACAAATTTGGCATTGACTGGTCAGTTGTAATCCTGCAAGATATGAACAGACCACTGCACAATGGTTTGGCTGCCCGTATCCTCATCCATTTGAATGGTGGGAGAATTCCTGCCCGAGTTGATTCTCAAATAAAAATGTGGAGGAATGTTTTCCACGATGGCACTAATGCGACTGATGTTCAGTTCTTCCCCAAATGTCAGTTGAGAGTTTATTGAGTTAATTAGAATGAAATGCTAAAATTAATTTAATGAAAATTTTGAGAAAATTTTTTGTTCAACTGAAGGTAAAAATGATTTCGCCAACGTAATCGTTTTGATCGACGGATCCAACAGAAATACAAACAGAACAGTGTTCAACAGCATTGTTCAGTTCACTGGGAAACTGACCGATACTCTTAATTACCTAGAGGGAGATCTGGATAACAGCAGTCAATTTGCTGTTGTCCAGTTCAGTTACGACATCGCTGAGCAGATAAACATCAACAACGCCAACAACAAAAGTGTTAGACGGGGCATGATCGATAAAATAGCTTACGCTGACAAAGGTTGTATTTTTTAAATTCAAGTTTGACCCAATTTATTTTCATAATTTTTATATAATAATTTTAGTTGAAAGAAAAACTGACAAAGCCCTAGATTATTTGTTAAATGAATATGCATTTGGTCCCGACGTTGAATACATGAAACCGCGTGTTGCGATATTGATAACATCTGGAACATCATCGGATCCATATAGAACTCAGACCAGTTTGAAATCTGTGTTGAGAGAAGGGATATCAGTGATAATCATAAGTGTCGATGAGCCTTTCGAAGTTACTGACATCTATGAACCAAACTTGCTCACTCAACTTGTTTGGACTGATTTATCTGATGATGCTTCCTTTGGCAATGAAGAAGTGCATGAACTTATTTGTAGGGGTTAGCTAAAAAATTGGTTATTTGTGCTTGCAATTTTGAATATAAATGAACTAGTTCCTAACAAATGGTAAATGTTTAATTTTTTTAAATTTTATAATATGAAACAGCTCCAACTGTTATCAAACCTGATGGAATATTGAGAAAAATAAAGACTCGACCTCAACAAATAACCAACTTGCTTGTGAATGTTACTGACCAGAAGACAGTGTCCAATGTTAGTCGAACCTACATAGATCAGTTTGATGAGTTCTTTCAAATCTTTTATTTAAGCTTTAGATTTCCAATAAAAAATTTTTATTGAAATTCAATTTAAAAAATTCAGACATGAATCTATATTTTTCAGTTGGAAACTTTATCGGCCGGGCAATTTTTCTCGTCATTGGTTCAAGGGATATTCCCTTCCCCTGCTTACTACGATAAAAATTTTTCTTTCGGAAATACCTATACCTCCTTGCTTTCAGAATTCTCGAGAGTAACCAATGAAACGACGATGCCATGTAGCATTTTGATGTCAGGAGGAAGTGACGGGGTTGGCGATACATTCATAATGAACAAAGCAAGTATGGAATGTTTCAGTTTATGAATTAAATAAATTTGAGGAGTACCTGATTTATGTTTTCAACAATTCATCACCAGTGTTCAACTCGTGCAGCGTGACACCCAGCAAATGTTTGGATCAGGCGTGCCTGAACAAAACTCAAGAGACCACCGAATGCAAGTTAAGTTAGTATGTGCATAGCACAAACCGTTGTTTCTTCATTCAAAAATTTGAAATTTCAATAAAATTTAATTTGGCTTATTTGAAAAAATTTAGTTCAAAACTGGAAGACGTGTATTATAGAAGAAAATGGTAGTAAATGCACGTGCTCCCATGATTACGAAGGAAAATGCACACCAGACGGTATATTTCTATTTCATTTACAAATCTATAATTCAGAAATATCAAAATGTAAAATTTTTTTTACTCCGGATTACCGGTTTGTTTGTCATTTCCCCGCAGATTATTGTGTCCAAAATTTGTGCCTGAATAAGGGGAGGTGCATTAGTCTGAAGGATACTTTTAAATGTGAATGCCTGACGGGTTACTCCGGGAAGACTTGCAAGATTAAAGGTCAACAAATGATAGCAGTTGATTGAATTGTAATTTGTATCATCTATTGTTGAAATTTAGGTCGCTTACACTCGTTTTGAAACTTTCAATCGGATCATCTCTCTTTCTCTCTCTCTCTCTCTCTCTCTCTCTCTCTCTCTCTTTCTCTCTCTAACACAAATCGTAAATTTGTTACAAACATTTAAAAAATTAGTCAAATTCATCGTTAATCATTTCTAAAAATTAATCTTTTAAAGATGCCTGCTTAAGCAGCCCTTGTCTGAATAATGGAACATGCTCTGGTAGCGTAACGTCGTTCACGTGCATTTGCGTGAAAGGGTTTACTGGAGTTACATGCAGTGCTAAAGGTGTGTTAGTGTTCATGATTTAATTCTAAATTTTTGATGCCGTTGGTATTACTGTATAATTAAGTTGAATTAATAAAATGAAGCTAATTAGTATCTATTTTTATGGATATATTTTTATTTTTGGCTATCTAGTTTATAATTGTGCGTAAGGTAACGTTTAAATATTATCATTTTAGATGGAATTTCAGCTGCCAGATCTACAATTTCTTTGTCGGCTCTTACTCTGTTGTGTTTGTGCATGTGTCAAATTTTGAAAAACTCATTCAATTGAAAATGTTTCATGTATATGTTGTGAAGAAAATTTTATCAATGTTTGCTTCTTTTTTTTATTATAGAAATATCTCAGTTCAGTGACATTGATTGTAATAAAATCTATTTGGAATATTTTTCATTTTGAAAGCCATGCTTATAAAATGTCATTGTGATTATACATAGTCAGTTATTTTGTGATGAAATATCTACAGATGGCCAATCATGAAAATCATGCTAATAGCTTATTTTGTAATAATAATTCATAGCCGATTTATCGATTTCAAAAAATCTGACAAATTGAGATAAAGTATTCCAACCTGATTTGATTTAGAAACACAAAGTTAGATAGATGGATGGATGGATGGATGGATTGATTGATTGATGGATGGATGGATGGATGGACAGATAGATGGATGGATGGATGGACGGACGGACGGACGGACGGACAGACGGACGGACGGATAGATAGATGAATTAATGGATAGATGGATGGATGGATTGATAGATAGATGGATTAATGAATAGATGGATGGATGGATTTATTGATAGATGGACAGATGGAGAAAGATAGATAGAGAAAGTTTATATCACAATTTTTTTCTCTATATATTTGGCGCAACGAAATTTATTTCGTTGAAACCATAGCAACTGATTTGATTTCAATTCTTGAGGTGTTCTTAGGCTCATAGAAAGGTAGAAAGACATTTTATTTATTTAAACGTCTCATTTATTCGATTATTATTCTTATTATTAATTCTTATTATTGCTTTTATCAATTTTATTATTAATTATTATTATAATTATTGAACTTAATTATTATTCGTTGACGTATTATTTTATTTTTAATTCAAAATTGGCTACAAATTATAAATAATTATAATTAATAATTATAAATAGTATACCACACCGTGGTTATTATGTAATGTTGTAAATTTAAATTTAAATTATTTATTATAGAAAATAATAATATTAAATAATAAAGATAATATATAAATAACTGAAGGATAATTTTATTAAATTAACATTTCACTGGCGCATGGTATCATGTACAATGCATACAGCTGCCACTCGTATTGATTTTTAACTGCTGTTCATAATATTAATTAATGAATACGTATGTATGTATGTGTATGTATGTGTGTATGTATGTGTGTATATATATATATATATATATATGTGTGTGTGTGTGTGTATCTGTGCGTGTGTGTGCGTGTGTTTTTATGGATACGTCCATGTATGTATGTATAATCTTCATTTGCTCATCCGATGAGCATGTTTTCTTTACCATTTTAGATTAATAATATTCATAACAACTACGTTATTAAAAAGTTTATGATTCACCATTTGAAGAACAATTTTTGGGATAAACGCTCTTCTTGGATTTACAAATTTTCAATTCAACCACCTGAAAACTAATTGTACACTCTAGCTGCAATGATAATGTTTCGACTGACAACGCGAACTACAACACCCAAATGACGCTGATGTAAATATATCATAAAATAATTATAAAATCATATAAAATATTATCAGTAGTAAGGGTAAAATCAGTAGACCAAAATAGTAAAAAAGTATGAATATGACAGTATGAATGAAAAAGTAGCGTAGAATCGAACTACGGAATGAACATTGAGAACAAAATGAATGCCAATATTTCCATTGATCTTGAAGTTCTGGCCTACACAACAATAAGGAGTCAAGCATGGAGTAGGGTGGTCCTCACGAGTGGGGTGAGTTATCTGATTGGCTGGTTGGATAGTTTGGTGATTTGTGATTGGTCGAAAAGTTGATAAGTGGGGTGAGTTATCTGATTGGTTGGTTTTTTGATTGGCTGGTTGGATTGTGTTTGATGATTCGCGATTGGTTGAATGGTTGATGATAATATTTTGTTGAAACAACCAACAAACTAATCAATCGATCAGTCAATCAATCAATCAATCAACCAACTAACTACTCAACTATTCAATTTCACAACAACCATTTTATAGAGCGTTATTCTGCTAGACCAGAGAAAACTGACCACACTCTACATGGATACTGGCAAGACAAAAAAACCCTCACAACAACTCCAACAATTTGTCAGCAGCTCCATACTGCTAACTGTTTCGGCAAACGGTTGGTTGGTCTGTTGGTTGATTTATGTTGTCTGATTGATTATTTTGTTGTTAGTTCGTTGTTAATTTGTTGTGCAGTTGTTGTTGTCGTTGTTGTATTGGTTGAACAGTTGTTGAATACATACATACATCGTACAAACAAATCAAATTGCTGTCACTTTGAAAAAAGCAATTTTTCTGATGCGCAGTCAGAATCATTGTCACTGTCTAGTAGCAGATTTTGATACAAAATTTTTGAAAATGTTTAAATTTTCACGGAGAGCGAGGGGAACTTTTTACGGGGGAGGGCTAAGATTTGTAGTAGTGTGTGGGTGGTGTGTGTGTGTGTGTGTGTGTGTGTGTGGTAGTGTGGCTGACGTCCTTTTTGGGTCGATTTTACACATAGAAAGGTCCTTTTTCCGACTTTTATTAACAGACTTCTCACAACGGGGAAGGCCAAGATTCCACCTGGCCTCCCTAGATCCACCCCTGTCCCTGTTCTCATCACCATCATCATCATCGTTACCATCACCATCATCACAATCATCATCACCATCGTCATCACAAACGTCATTACCTCTAGGTGAATTCCTTGGTGGGATGACGTCAGACGGGACGGTCTTCCTGTGGGACAAGTCGGCGGATGTTCAGAGGATGGTATCCGGGATGAATTTGCTTTCGTCATTTCCTACTAGGATGTTCAAACCTGGTATGTGATGATGGTGATGATGATGTTGGTTATGATAATGATGCTGGTGATGATGAGGATGATGAGGATGATGAACGTATCCATTATCCCAAATCCCAATTTCGATTTGCGGATAGATCCGGGGCAATGCTTGCCTTACATGTGTATAGCTGACACTGGCCTACAGCTGCTGGTCGTCAACAGCTGTTTTCAGATTTTCGTCTGGCAAGCTAGCAGGTATGATTTGATTTGATTTGATTTTGTTATATATTTATTTTATTCTATTTTTTTAAATAATTTTCTTCGGATATAAAGTTTTAATGCAATTCATTTGAGACATACATCTTACAAATTTAAAATGTTTAAAAATTCGTTTTAATGATTTTTTTTGGACACCGTATAAATTAAAGAATTTTTCCATAATTTTAACACGTTGTATCGATTTTAAAATAACTTTTAACTGACAAATATTAAATTTAAATTAATTTTCAATCGAATTATATTTTTTTATGTGCAGTTATCGAGTTAAACCAAAATAACTAAAGCGATTTATGCCAAAATTGTATTCAGAATCTACGATTACTACACCAACATGGGATTGGACAAGAAAATTATGGATAAGTCCAATGAAAAAATGGTGGTGGTGGGCGATTGGTGGATGGTATCACCAGGTTCTGGTGTCGGGGAAGGTGTAGTAAACACGGGGGGTTATACTGGGGTGGTTGGTGGGCTTGGAGGGGTAGAGGGTAACGTGAAGATGCCCTCTTTTGATGACTGCGAAGCGTGTGTTCATTGCGTCTTCGTTTTTGATAATAGCGTGAGTTTTTTGTTTGCTGATTCCTGACTGGCTGGCTAATTTTTTCACGAGTTTGTTGTGATTGGTTGGTTGTTATGTAATTTTTGACTCGCTGATTGGTGGAAGAGTTTGTTGTGATTGGTTGGTTGTTATGTAATTTTTGGCTCGCTGATTGGTGGAAGAGTTTTAAAAATTTGTGGCTTACAATTTATATTTAAGTAATTAACAAATTATGATTGTGAAATTAACTTGTGTCCGGTGGATAAGTTTGAAAAAGTTTAGAGAATGTATTTTTAAAAATTACGATAATAGACACTCGGCTACCACAGCGTTTGTTCGACGGGTTTCTTTGATGGCCAGGATCTGGTGATTATATCTGTGGTTGTCAGGTATCCACACATCCGGAATGTGGCATTTTTAAATGACAGGTTTGTCCAGGCACTTTTCCGGTTCGTTTGGTGACTGTTAATTGAGATATTTTAAAAATAAATTCAAACAAATAGCCAATCGGAGTTTGAAGCATCTTGGTCGAAACAATGCCATTCGCTGTCGTCATTACAGACCAGCCAATCACAGCAGACCACATTTAAATTCCGGCCAATCAAACAACTTGGATCCCTTCTAATTCGGCACAGTAGGGACGGCGTCATAATTGTGGTGGCGACCAATCAGATCGACGGGTGTTATTTAGTGTTTTTGTCCGTGCACGCTCCACTGGTCATGAATGTGACGCGAGTGTTTGAAGGAACTTTTGCTGGAGCTAATTCCGGAAGGTATGAATAAGGAGTTTATAATAATAATAATAATAATAATAATAATAATAATAATAATAATAATAATAATAATAATAATAATGGTAATAATTATAATTATAATTATTATGATGATATGATGATGATTAATAATTACGGTTATTAATACGACAAACCAGTGACAACATGCTATCACCTTACCACAGCAGCTACAGTAATTTGTTCAGCGCCAGCAGCATGGAATGGCTCGGCAGCGACCTCTTCATTGTCGTCATCAGCAGCGCCGGTAGCGTCAGCATCTGTTCACGTCTGGGTGAACGTATATGCATGGTCGTCAGTGGCTTCGACGGCAGTCAGCCACTCGCGACGTCATGTCTGCCGCTTCATCCGCTCGTCTCTGTTACGTTAG